TGTGTGTGTGTGTGTGTGTGTGTGTGTGTGTGTGTGTGTGTGTGTGTGTGTTTACATTTGTTGTTCTGGACAGCAAAACTTGAGTGATAACTGGAGAACATTTGGAATAACGTAAAAACAGGGAGGTCATTACAGAGATAGGGTACGTCATCATGCCATGACGTCACACCTGGAGTCCTCCATAAGACAGGTAGGTCCACACATTCATGGAAGAACGACAACATAAATTATGCGTTGGCTAAAAAAATAATGCCTTGAAAGGTATATATCTAATTGAAAACATAATGTTCATGTACTTTGAAACACTGTATCGGCGGTTCGCTGTTCAAATGTGTCAAGCCCAGAAACCCCCCCAGTGTTATAGGAGATAGAAAAAGAGTTCATTTCTTTTATCAATTAATTACACATTTGTTTTTTCTTTCTTTTTCCAGCATTCGGAGATTGGATTTCAACAAAATATATCTTGAGCACACGCAGCTCGCCCCTCAGATTAAGAAAGTGTATTGCAACAATGCTCAAACGTTTGGGCTTTAAACACGTTAACAGTAGGTGTCCGACAGTTTGCGCTATGTCTGTCCCCGTGGTTTTATGCAAAATAATGTCTGAAATTATGCAAACTGAGCCCAAAATGTGAAATTATGCGATTCTGTTAATTTTAACAAATAATGAAAAAGGAAAATAATCAGAAATTATGCAAAAATGATCAAATTTTACTAAATTATGCGGGGTGCATAGAACCACGGAGACAGCTGTGTGGGAGTGAAGAAAGCTACAAAGTTCTGGCTTGACAAGTCTCGCAGATACAAGACCGAAAAACTGACAAGACACAATCATAATCAACAAAAGACTGCTGTATTTATACAGCGCATATCCCCGCCCTGCAGCAAGCTCTATGCGCTCTACAACCATTATTACCCCAGCAAACTTTAGAACACTCATGCTCATATGACCTTATGCAGTTACGAGCGCCGTAAAACTTACTAAAAAATTTAAAACACTCAAACATATATTTTGCTTCACGGGAAGCATGCAGTGCCAGGCAGCCCATTAAGCCCGCAAACACTAACAAATTGACCAGAGTTTTCGAAGTCTACAGCCGAGTACCCATCCCCACTTAGGGCAAGTGAGTGAAATTTGTGGTGTAAAACTTATTTCTCAAGGACGCCTGAGTCGCAAGGCCAACGGTCTAACCACTTGACCACTGGTGCCGCAGCCAGGATATCACAGATAGCGGGAGGTTGGCGTGTGCTCTGGTGTGGTTTTCTCCTTCTTTCCTATCAAACATCTATCGTCCTTATCTCTCTTCCTTCTTTTTTTTTGTGTACGTTGTTCTCCTGTAACATATCTATTCTTCGGCACTTAAATGGCCTTATTGTGTTGCAAGTGCCGTAAAACTCTTGATAAAACTAAAGATCACAGATACGCTTTTGGGAAATCCCGACGTTACTCTAGGACGATATTGCAAACATATACAAAGTAAGTGGAATGAAAAAAAACCAAAACAACAACTGTTGATTGAATGAGCACGTACAAAACAAAGCAAAAACAAATTAACAAGTGAACAGATGAACACATAGTTTACAAAACAGGTGACAAAATAAAAGGATAGTTATGCATTCCCCC